ATGCATATAACTTACATATGCAGACCTTCCAAGAGGTCAGCACTTCCACAAAAGAAGTTCTAAGGCTCAAAATTGTTAACGTCACAAATGTGGAAGCCAAAACTCATGCTGAACACAAATGTATTGAACTTTACCTAGTTTTAATTAAGCTGAGTTGGGAACGTTAGGGAGTAGCTGCTCCAGCTAAATTGGTTCTATTTAAATGAGATAACTCATTTAAAGTTACCTGGAGTGACTCTATGCTAGACTTCAAATTAAACATACTTCTGCAGTCTACTAAGATGCCAGTTCAAAAAAATCTACTTTAAACTCTAATTAGCAGTAAGCATTTATGATTACAATGATTTCTATTCTTTTGAAGAGGATTTCACTCTTGCTATATGTTCCTCTCTCCAGCCTCTCTGAAACCCTGCCTAATAGTGCTCCTTTACCCTACATGACTCCTTGTAGTCCTGAGGCAGAGAGTAAAGAAATACCCCCGTGCTCTTATTACAATTTTTATTTTTCACACCACTTTCACAAACATCAAAGTTAAACCAGTTCAACTCTTCTGTAATGAATGTGCTCATTCTCTCACTGTTTTGGTTACCCCTATATCCCAGCTTTCAGTCATCAGTCTTCTAATATCCCAGTCTTCAAACAAAAAAACCCGAAGTAAAAACTCTCACACCCCACTCCCCTTCAAAAAAATCCCTAAACAATCAACCCCATAATTCCTCAAATCTGAGCACCCTAGAAGTTCAGAGCTCTACCAGCTCCCACCCTCCTCTAACTGCCAGCTGATTCTCCCTTTCCCATTGTCTAGATGGCTCCTTATTTTCCTCACCACAGTTGTTCTCCCACCAAACTAGTAACAAACAAGGTGTAATTAAGGCCTTGGCCATGCTACCATCTACCCCTAAGTACCTTTTTCCAGAAAACAAACAGAAAATCAAATCAGCAAACAAACAAACCAATATGCCCATGCAGGAAATTCTCCTTACCCTGTGACTCACCTACTGAGCTTGGGCTCCAGAGAGAAAACAGAGCAACCCACAGAGCACTGTCCTACCTTACTGCTTCACAGAACAGGTAAGGGAGATCTTGCCACCACCCAGCCATTGTACCTTTATCACATTCACCAAACAGAACACAGATTTCAGCCACATTCACCCTCTGAGCCCCACATTTTCTAGCTCAAGGTAAATCTTACATCCCTCACACCTGCTTTTTCAAGCAAGGAAAGAACTTTGAAATCAAAATAAAAGGGGAAAATTTAGAGATGAAGACTAGGCAGTTTTACTCTAGATTCTTGTGTTCCCCTGAAGTACATTCTGTACCCTCAGCACAGGGAGCAGAATTTCTGCTCAAGTCCAACCTGAATTATAAATGACAGACATCTTGTACAAACAGTCATGGCTTATACTAACCTTCAGAATCTAAGCATCTTTCAAATTTCTGGGATAACTGATAGGTATCAAAACAGCGGACCCTGGGCTTGTAAGTTCCTGAAAGAATAATTTGATGTTTAATTAAATAAAAAAGTTAAACAAAAAGATAACACAAAAGTTTTGCTTTTTATTTCAGGTATAATATCATACATATGGCTTTACTGTGTTTCTACTGTAAGTCTTCTGATCTTCCCAAAGCCTCTATGACTGGAAAAACACGCCTCTTAGTAACACAACTTTACAGCCTGGTTTCTGCAAGCACCCATTGTATGTAGGTTCTTCTAACTACCAGATACATCATACAGAATCTAGTAACACCTTCCAGTAAATCTGAAAGACCTACATAAGTATTCATGCTTGGATCCCATTTTGACAGTTACAAAATGCAGCATTATCCTCCTCCTCCTACAAAACAATACTCAAACAATGATGTTCCAAAGTTACTTAACATACATGCAATAAAAGTAATTCAGAACTTAGTATTTAACTGTATTACAACAGACCTGTTTTATTAGTTTTTTATTTGGCAGCAGGGGGTTTGGATTAGATTATCTTGAAAAGTGCCTTCCAACCCAAACCATTCTATGATTATAAGAATGTATGTATTCTAAACAGAAGTGTTCCACAGCTCCCAAGACAGCTGTTCTATCACATGTTAAGAGCCAGCTTCCAGCAGAAAGCTCACTTCCACACTTTAAAAGGAACTCTTACCAATTCTACCTGAAACACTAAGTCACTCTGCACCCAAGATTACCTAGGACTTTTGGCCTCTGTTAGACAGTTTGTTAACTCACCAACTGCCATAATATACTGTCCATCTCTTGATACCTTAATCTTTGTGCTAACTGTGGGCATTTCAAAGTCTTGAATAAGTTCAATTCTTCTACGGATGTCTGTAAAGAAAAAAAAATTGTAGAATTAGCACAATTCTATCAGTCAAAAAAATTGTAATGGTTTCCTAAGGAAGCATGTTGAGTTAATTGACTATAGGGAATATCCTTTAGAGATATTATAACTAACATATTATAAACAGATTAACACAGTCTGCTAACCCTGAGAAGCAGACTATCCCTGTGTAAAATAAATTAGTACTCCAGGGTAACTGTGTAACAAGTTATTATATAATGTAGTAACAAATACTCATTCCACACCTACACAATTAAGGCCTTGTATAAGGTATTCCATGCTCCATTACCTCTATGCATTTTTTTTCTTGGTTAAGTGTCTTGTATAACACTTCCTGTGTTATATAGCTTTCATTAAAAAAATAGTTGTTTTTTTTTATTTTGTGTAACAAGCTTAGGCTAAAATGATGTGGTCCTGCTCTAAGATTAGCACAGCATCACAGAGGAGTTTATGGTCTGCTTTTAACGTAACAACATGGAATTCATCCATGTTTCTGTTACAGTCCACAACCCAAATATTTAATGCCTAAAATTTAAAACACCACTGGTTATACAGTGTTCATGTGAAGCTACACAAGAAGTTGAAATAACTATCTGTAGTTTAATTCTCTAGTTTTTATATTACGACTTAGGGATAACTTCTGTGTATCAGTCAGTGAGAAGTCTCCTCTGGATGTGCATGTGATGTATGTGGAGTAGCCGAGTATCGCTGAGCACCCTGTGAGGGGAAAACTCACCCACATCTTTCTTCTGTAAAGCTCTTTTCTTCCTGTCAGAGAGCCACTGCAAGCAAAGGTATACATCAGTCTTGAGCTCATTGTTCATACAGGAACTCGAGAATCACTTAAAGTTTAACCAACCATTTTTAATCTAAGACACTTAGGCCGCTAATTCTTTTGTTCTTGGTTTTTTTTTTCTTTGATTATCTTCTAATTTCATTCCACCGATAAGTTTAACCATTCCACACCAAGAAAACTTACAAAGTCGTGTTGCTTACGGGTCTATGGACCAGCACCGCTACACTCAGAGGTGCAGGAATTCAAACTGCATTTCTAGTTCAAGAAACACTCAGAGCTGTTTCTCGGTAATGATCCCAGCACAGTCGCACATGGACCGGGGCAGCTCAGCTCAGCTCAGCCGGGCCGGGGCTCGGCCCCCGCGCCGGCACCGCGCGGATCAG